AGTAAGAAAGGTATCTAATTTAAGATTGACATTAAAGGTATAAATCTGATTGTTGAAAATGTTAAGCAGCCATAAAAATCAAGTGCTACATTTCGCATTAGTCATGTGCCAGGTGAATAGCTGGACAGGGCTCTCGGAAGATGGCACAAAACACAAACTGAAAATCTGAAGACTCTGCCAGATTGAAATTATGAAAGCACCTGTTCACACACAATGAAAATCAGTCCCATAGAAAATTAAAAACTAAACTTGAAAAAGTAGCTTGTAGAAGTGAGATGCCAATAACCCGGCTATTAAAAATCTCGCTGCCATAACACTCCTGTGAGTGTAAAAACAAAACTACAGAGATATTCACCTGAAGTTTAATCGGCTTTCTGAATTTCGTGTTGCCTTTTGTCGGAGGCAACGTTGCAGAAGAACAGGCATAGTTGGTGGGAGATCAATTAACTTGAAAAATCTATGAATTCCTTGCCCAAATCGGTCCATGCTGGAAAAAAGTGAGCACTTAAAATAAGTAAATATAGAGTATTAAAATCTTGGCTGCAAATGGCTGGAAAAAGGCTGCAAATAGGCAAGAAACACTGATAAAAAATCAATACTGAATAATATAAAGATGGTTGCTTTACAAGTAGTTTTGATACACACAACGTCCCCATAAAATCTGAGTGTATCAAAGTGTTTATTTTTGAACTGAGACAAAAAACCTCATACATAGTATGAAAGGGTTGAAATATCCTTGCTTTGGCAAACTAGATCTGAAGAAATTGAATTCCGATATACAAATCTGAATTCTGTCGATCCCACATCTCTTAGTCGCATGAGCAGGATTACTCAAAATGATATGTTATTTCAAACTCTGACAGGGAACATGGTGCTAAAGGTTGGATAGAAGTACGATTTAATAAAGCGAATTTTTGTATCATGGAACTTATGTCTTCTTTCTAGCTCTCGTGGATAGCGCTCTATCAGCCTTATAGATTTGTTAGCAGCTGTAAATATCATCAGCTGTACCGTCTTCAAAATATATGTGGCTTAGTAGCTTAGGCTATCGACACACGGTAAGGCAATTCGGAAGGCTGAAGGTTGGGCTCTATCCTTTATTTAGGAAAGGACTAACAACGACGGAGAAGCTAAAGAAAACGAGAACAGGAAGTCTGCATTGAAGGAACTGGCCATCCTTTGTCTCCATGCTTTGGCCTATGGGCGCGGCTCGCATACAGGAATCGCCTTTACTTTAAGCAAGACAGTTAATGACAAAAAATAAATGATATTTCCAACAATTAATACCACCTTGACTCTCCAAATAGCAAGGAAAAGCGGAAACCTAACATACTGTTGTTCTATACTGTAAGGGTTATTTACCTTGTCTTCGTTGCATATGCAAGTACGATGACGTCATTTTGCAAATAGTAAAGCTGACTGTTCACTCCAATGCCATTGCTTAGATAGAAGGGTTCTTCTGTTCCACGTTTTCCAAGCCAAACAAAGACATCCGAAGGTAATTTTCGATTAAGGATGAAATCAACGTCGATCAGAATAATTGTTGAGCACTTCGGTCTCTCGCGATTCACCTCAACCAAAGCCCCTAAAAAGGGACAACAAACTGCATTGCAATGGACTCGCCTAAGCTCATTGATCACACAATACAACACCGTTTGAAGGTGGAAATGGGGTGCTATGGAGAAACTTTTTCCAAGCATCGTATGTGGCAAAAGGAACAATAGCATAATTTTCAAGCATTCTTTTAACATTTTACTGAAATGTAATAGGCTAGAATTGGAGTTATTTTTGTTAATTTATCATAACTATTTTTCACAAAGACGCAAAAAGTAAGATTTCCAATGTCCACCAGGAGAGCTACAATTCCTATCACTGGCAAGATAGCCAAATTTCATCCAACCTAACATATCAATTAATTCGAATGCCTTTCCTTGCAAAACACTTTGAGATGTTTCGAAACACATCGATTGATCTAGAATTATTAAACAGCCATACCCGTTATGTTTGAGAACTAGAGGACAGTTAAAATGTGCGTCTACACATGGTATGTGACTTTGTATGACGACTTATATAGCAATATATGCTAGGGTACATATTTAGCAGATAACAGAAACATAACATGATTTATATTTTTGTGAAAACAAATTATATATTTATGAATGAAATCTATGAAAGTAATTATGATTTCTAGTACGTCCTTTCATAGGTTATCGGCAAATAGCATTTTTTTGAGAAATGGTTGATTCGTTCGTAAAAAATAGACTCTTCCACTGCTGTTTGAATTTATACATGCGAACAAGAATCACTCGAATAAATGTGCTCCAAAAACGCTTAGCCAAATCAAATGCTTCCAATCAACTACTATGCCCGTCTACGTAATACAAATCAGAAATCTGCCTTCAGAAACAAATTATTACCTTTCCTTTTCAAAAACCCTCGCGCATATAAACAACTCTCACATGAAATTTTCCAAGGTCCTCTTGGACTCTGCGCAGGGGCCCGGAAAGTATGGCAAAAATCAGGCATGGGAAATGCATTGGATTGAAATGAAACTATATTTAGTTCTAGTAAAAACCTATCAATGGGACATATAAGGGGTGCATAATAAAACACAAATTTACGGAGATACCAACCATATTCTCGTAACAGTTTCACAAGTTCCTGAGCAGTGCAAATCTCATTCTCTTCAACGCTGGCAATAAAACTTGTCTTGCCTCTAATTTCGTCCATGGTCTGATTGAAAAATAAATTTCATCCTTGCAAGTTACATGCAATACTGGATATACGTATAAAGATATAGCTCAAAATAAAATGGGATTCTCAGCTAATTGTGTGCATATAATCAAGCATATAGCTCATTATAAATTAATTAAACTAGTGAACATGCCCTTTCGTGCAGGCTTCTTATCGAATTCTGAGAAAATCTCGAATGACATGATCCTGTAACAAACGCTTTAAAACCCCTTCCACATAGACGCTTACGTGAAAACAGAAAACCCTTGTTTCGTTTCCATTTAGATGAGAAAGCGAACTTTGCAAACGTACTCTAGTGTCTCTAATAGAAGGGGGAGGTAATGGAAGGGGGTGTTTATGTCGACCAGTTCTCAATAGAAGGGGGTTGCTAATAGAAGGGGGTGTTCATGTCGGCCAGTTTTTAATAGAAGGGGGTGCTAATAGAAGGGAGTGTTCATGTCGACCAGTTTTCAATAGAAGGGGGTGCTAATAGAAGGGGGTGTTCATGTCGACCAGTTTTCAATAGAAGGGGGTTGCTAATAGTAAGGGGTGTTCATGTCGGCCAGTTTTCAATAGAAAGGGGTTGCTAATAGAAGGGGGTGTTCATGTCGACCAGTTTTCAATAGAAGTGGGGTGCTAATAGTAAGGGGTGTTCATGTCGGCCAGTATTCAATAGAAAGGGGTTGCTAATAGAAGGGGGTGTTCATGTCGACCAGTTTTCAATAGAAGTGGGGTGCTAATAGTAAGGGGTGTTCATGTCGGCCAGTTTTCAATAGAAAGGGGTTGCTAATAGAAGGGGATGTTCATGTCGAACAATTTTCAATAGAAGAGGGGTGCTAATAGAAAGGGGTGTTCATGTCGGCCAGTTTTCAATAGAAGAGAGTTGCTAATAGAAGGGGATGTTCAGGTAGGCTAATTTTCAATAAAATGTCAGTAAACTTCAATGCCAAAGGGGAGCTAATAAAAGGAGTGGATGTTGGTAAATCTTTTAATTAAAAGGCAGTGGAATTATTAGGATGGTGACACTGGTTACTTGATAATGGATAGATTGTTAGAGATAAAGATAGACAAACAGAACAAGAAGAATTATTGACAAGTGAAAATTGCGTGTCCTGGTCATGACAGGTTTGTAAAATTTAATAGAAGGGCGGGTGCTAATAAGCGACAGAGCGGAGGGCAAATTCTTCTGAAGTCAATACAAGGGGGCCCTTCTATTAGAGACACTAGAGTATTTGTGAAGACGCTGCTACGTAATGGTAAGGGATATATCACGGAGATTAGGTTTACTGAGCAAGGTGTTCTTATAATCCAAGAGTCAATTATACAAAAATATACACATCTTACTGCGCAAAAGGAATCGTAATGTAATATGATACTACGTAATATTACTTACGCTGAAAATTTCAGATTTGGGAAATGAATAAGAAACAAAATTTCATTACGTTTGGTGAATTTGGTGAAAACAAATTTTCTATCACGGTGAGCTTATTTTTAAGCAAGTTTTCATATGGAAAATATCCAAACAAAATAATTTTTTATTCTATACAGGGGAACAAACAACAGACATGAAAAGTAGAAAATTCATCATTAATCAAATTAATGCAACTTGTTATATTGAGACATCCAAAGAATAATATGCACTTAGAAAATCTTCTAAATCATTGAAAGTAAAGTTAATGTAGCCCCCGTCTAGGGAAAACGACTTTCTAAGCAACATACATTAACTGCTATCTTACCGGTTGATATCATACGTAGGATACTGTAGACAACATACCTTGAGCCAATGGGAGAAGCAGGAAATGAAATGCTTAGCCTCTATCGTGTCGTCAGTCATGAACAGCACATTTCTGTACCGCTTAATCTGAAAATGGAAATCATATATGTTATGTGGAAATAAAATCATTACTGTCATCAACAGTGGGTGTATTTTCAAATAAGTTCACAACTTCAAGCTATAACAAAAATTCAAGCTATAAGAATAGCTCACCAATCTGCAATATTCTTGTAACGAAGTATTTTCTAAAGACGTAGAGTATGCCACTGAATCAAATGTTGAAGTTGTTTCATCTGAAAAGCAATGATTAAAAAGTGTTGTCACCGTTAGGACAAAAGCTTTAGGACAATGAAAATTGCAAACGATTAATCAATTTATCGTTACGAAAATCAAACTAGACACCTCTAATCAGAGATAAACAATTATTGAGAATATTGTTAAGAATATATATGAACTTTATCAAATAAAGAAAACCAAAAGAGAGCATTTTTCGTGCAGTTATCAACTACAACGTAAAAGTGCATTAATAAAAAATCCTTTTATGTTTGACAATAACTTAAAAGCAGAAATTTAGGTGCATCTTTAGTCTAAAAAGAAAGGAAAGAGGATAGATTGACCAAGCTCTCAAAATAAGTTAAAATATGTTTAGGGATAACTCATATTCATTCTTAAAACAAGTGGTGCTCTCTCCTCGATTAGCCCAACTACTCAGAGAGTCCCTCCTCAAGGAATTCCCCTTCATACAATTTGATATGTAGGCTATTATTTCTCTGTTGTTTTTAGATTTGTGCTTAATTTGTGTTGTGTGTAGTATTGTATTAATGTAACTGATAAATTGTATGCAGTTGAATTTTTAAAATAGGAGACAGAAACTAAAAAATAAGAGTTGTCCTGAAAAGCAAGTTCGAAACTTTTTTAATATCTTCCTAATCATGTATTAACATTTCCAATGATACGGATCTAACTAGCCGGAGGTTTTAGCATATTTCTTTTAACTGTCCTTTCTGAATGTTGATGACACCATATCAAAAAAGGTAATGAATTTGAAAATGTAAGGAAACGTAGGTTAAATTTTTGTGGTATTCCAATTGCATACTCATTTGATGAATTACGTAGTCACTCTAACACTGGGATTTTTCTTCTAATAAAATCAGTACCATATCAATTTGTGGTTGACGTCAGTAAAAACTGGCGATGGACAAGAACAAATCTGGGGGATTTCTTCACTTTAATAAGAATTAGGAAGAACTTCTGGAACTAATTCGATGATTTAAGCCAATGAATTGTTTGATTTGATTTGACGGATGGAGGCTCCCTACAAGGACCGAAACTCGTGAACGTTTTCTAAAGCGAGTTGAGACTCTTGGAGGGGAAAAGAGGTTAACATGTTGCAACAGTACCTTTGAGACGAATGGTCAGGTAAGGTTTCGATCTATCTTGCCATGCTGCTGTCCAAGGCGTGATACCTGCAGGAAACCCTGTAGGCGTCCAGGCAACAGATCCTAGCTCAAATCGACTGACGCTTGACTGGAAAATCGCTGTAAACAGTGTAAAACGGAGAAAGGCTAAGAAACTGACAAAACACATCGCAAATTTCAAGGTAAACGCTAATGTTTATACAACTGCAAACGTTTAGGGCCTGAAATTACGGCATAATTAATTTGGCATAATCGTTGATATTGTCATAATCTACCGAGAATAAAATTGTCACGGTCGTGGAGCTATCTGAACTTTGATAAGCATCACAACACCAAGTGCTGTATTTTTACTTAACACCACTGTGGATTTGACAAAAAAGTCGAACTATCACATGTGAGCCCATTTGCAAAGAAAATCAATTCGGAAGTGACGTACCAGCATTACTCGTGCTCAGACCTCTAGACGCTCTCCAAGGAACCTTATCCAAGAAAATTCTTTTCACGGCCTCTGTAACGGAGATCCATTCACTTTCGTTTTGTAGCCGCAGTTCACCAATGAAGTCTAGAATACTATCAGACATGACCAAACCATCTGCTGAAATACAAAATACAGAAAAAAATATTACCAACTTGACAGATAAGACATGCAGCGAAGTTACAGAAGTTTAACCACATCTAGCTAGTAAAAGCAAACAAAGAAATCAATTCAAGGGTCCCACTGGAAAAAAACATCAGGCAAAGCAAAGACAAATCTGACATTGTCCAAAGAATCAAGCAAGACTTCCAATAGAATTCCTTGAAGATTTCCCTTGACAGTATTACACAGGCACTACATGACAAACTAAAGCAAATAAAGAATAATGTTTTATTTTGCATTCAGGCTTGTGGACGTTAATTTCCAAAATAATTTAAAAAATCCTAAAGGATCCTTTGCATAACAAGTGTTTATATCTAGCAAAAGAATTTATTGCTGCACCTATAACAGACTCTCACAAATGTTTAAAGTACTTTCAAAGGTCACTACCATACCATCAGAAAAGCCCCAGCCATAACCTGCGGCAACTGCGATGAGTAGAGTGCAGGAATCTAGAATTAAAAGCATCAAGTCAAAGTTTATAGAAAAATGGAAACAATACTTCAGTTCAGATTCTTGCAAATAATTAAGTTTTGTTTACCGATGTATGCTAAAGGCAACATACAGGTTTGAGGTCGCAGAAATTTACACTAGTGGCCAGGTACCGCGTAAAAGGCGTTCTTGAAAAGTCTCTGAAAACATTAGATGTCTCTGTAATTTTGACATTTGATGAGGTCATTATTTGAGGTCAGTAATTGTTTTTGACTGAGTGTCGTAATGAACCGGCAAGGAGAAAGATAGGAAAATTCTGCTTCAGCGTCTATCGCGCGCAGTTGTTGTTAAGGCTATGTACATACAACCGTAGAATTTTATCACCAAAATTTAAAAAAACATTTTACTCGCATCTTTTGTTAAAAATTAATTATATATAAATATATATATGAAATAATGAATTAGAAAATCTTTTTTGTCCACAGTGTGCATCATTCAAACAAAATGTAAACAAATACAGTCAAGATTACTGTATAGCAAATGTTTCTGATGGAAACCTTACCTACACTTATCACAATCTCAAAGAATACTTGTCACCCAGTTACGCGACAAAGTGCCTTTAAGACTTAAGACTGGAAGGTTAAGACTTAAAAAACAGACTGACATGACAGCAGATGCTAACAAGAGCAATATTTTCAATTCTATCACCATAACATTTGATCTAAACAGCCTCTCGTTTCTAAATAAACAAAACAAAATTTTCTTTATAAATACTAGGAAAATAAAACTAAGTTATATACCATATATGGTTTCTCCACCCACCCACAAAACAACGATGTTTGCCTTTGCAATTATCATCGGAAAGGTTATATCAGAACCGACACCTTCCTGTTGAGAGTTGCTGATACTAAAAGCAGAAGGGTGTTAAGGGCATTGGAGGTTCTCTACCCTTTATGTAGAGAAGAGTCATGTTTTGTCGTGTACCTTGTTTTGTTGAGACTTGGGGGTATCCCCCTTTGGTCACTACCATAAGATAAGCATTCGTAATATGAATAGTTCAGGTGTGCATGTTTAATTTCACTTTAGGA